TCTAGAACCTTCTAATGTTAATCTAGAACCTGCTACCATAATCTAGAACCTGCTACCATTGATCTAGAGCCTTCTAACATTTATCTAGAACCTTCTACTGTTAATCTTGAACCTGCTACCGTCAATCTAGAACCTGCTGCCATCAATCTAAAACCTGCTAACGTTAATCTGGAACCTGCAAACATCAATCTAGAGCCTGCTGACGTTTATCTGGAACTTGCTACCATTAGTCTAGGACCTACTAACGTTAATCTAGAACCTTTTACTGTTAAATCTAGAACCTTCTAACATTAATCTAGAACCTGCTGATGTTAATGTAGAACCTGCCGAGGTTAATCTAGAACCTGCCGAGGTTAATCTAGAACCTTCTAATGTTAATCTAGAACCTGCTACCATAATCTAGAACCTGCTACCATTGATCTAGAACCTTCTAACGTTTATCTAAAACCTTCTACTGTTAATCTAGAACCTGCTACCGTCAATCTAGAACCTGCTAACATCAATCTAGAACCTGCTAACGTTAATCTGGAACCTGCAACCATCAATCTAGAGCCTGCTGAAGTTTATCTAGAACCTGCTACTGTTAGTCTAGGACCTGCTAACGTTAATCTAGAACCTGCTACTGTTAAATTTAGAAACTTCTAACATTAATCTAGAACCCGCTGATGTTAATGTAGGTTCTGTCTGTTAATGCAGAACCTGCCAAGGTTGATCTAGAACCTGTTTACATTAATCTAGAACCTGCTGACATTAATATAGAACCCGCTAAGGTTAATCTAGAACCTACTAATGTTAATCTAGAGCCTGCCAAGGTTAATCTAGAACCTGCTAAGGTTAATGTAGAACCTGTTAATTTTAATGTAGAACCTGCTAACGTTAATCTAGAACCTGCCACGGTTAATCTGGAACCTGCTTACATTAATCTAGAACCTGCTGACATTAATATAGAACCTGCTAAGGTTAATCTAAAACATTCTAACATTAATCTAGAACCTGCTAACGTTAGTCTAGTACCTACTACCGCATTTTATTTTACACACAGCATTTAATGCGTAGCATTTTAACACGCAGCCTTGTACACACCGCATTTATCACGCAGCTTTGTGCACGCAGCATTTAACAAATAGCATTTAACACGCAGCCTTGTGCATGCAGCACTTAACATGCAGCCTTGTGCACGCAGCATTTAACACACAGCCTTGTGCAAGCAGCATTTAACACACAGCCTTGTGCATGCAGCATTTAACATGCAGCCTTGTGCACGCAGCACTTAACATGCAGCCTTGTGCATGCAGCATTTAACATGCAGAGTGCATGTAGCATTTTGTGCACATTTATGTGCATGGGGCTGTTTTTTTCCTCTGAGTCGGTTTATGTGAATCACAGAGAGTGGAACAGGTAGGACTGAGACACACCTGAGAGACTGATGCTTATCAGTGTCTTACATCACAGACACCCCCCCCACTGACAGGCAGGTTCTTAATGAGGCTAGCAGACTGATGCTAATCATGGTTATTAATCAGTTCCCTGTCAGTCTGAGCATCATCATCAGTCACTGTGGTGGGATCACTGTCAGGAGCGCTGCCTGGAAACCAGCATGGAAACCTATAGGACGAAGAGTTCTGTCTGATCTAGATGTTGCCTAACTAGCTGCATGCAGTTAGCCTAGTTACACGCAGCTAGCCTGACTACATGCTGCTAATCTAGCTGCATGCACCTAGCCTAGATTAATCTAGCTAAACTAGCTACATGCTGCTAAACTAGCTGCATGCAGTTAGCCTAGTTACACGCAGCTAGCCTGACTACATGCTGCAAATCTAGCTGCATGCACCTAGCCTAGATGAATCTAGCTAAACTAGCTACATGCTGCTAAACTAGCTACATGCAGTTAGCCTAGTTACATGCAGTTAGCCTAACTACATAATGCTAACTTAGCTACATGCTTCTATACTAGCTACATGCAGCTAGCCCAGCTACATGCTGCTAAACTAGCTATATGCTCCTGAACTAGCCACATGCAGTTAGCCTTGTAACATGCAGATAGCACAACTACATGCTTCTAAACTAGCTACATGCAGTTAGCCTAGTTACATGCAGCTAGCCTAGCTGCATGCTTCTAAACTAGCTACATGCAGTTAGCCTAGTTATATGCAGCTAGGCTAGCTTATGTTTTTAGCGTTAACAGATTTCCTGCTGATAGCGTAGCTAATGCTAACCTGGCTTCATGCTGCTAGCCTAGCATCCTGCTTGTCACTACCCAATCCGCACCATTAGCTCATCATAAACCTGATATACATCCGGTCGACCTCAATTTTACTTAATAAAAAAGACCTAAATGATGTTTTTCCCTCCTAAAAATAGTAAGCGTACTAAAATATAAGATGTTAAAGGTTAATAATGTATTTGCTAAGAAAGTAAATAAGTAAAAATCCTTTCTGTTTTATCACTAGTCTGTTCGCTACGCTACTTTGGGAGTTTTTCAGCTTTGGATTTAAACATAAATCTAGTCTTTTGAGCTTCCTGCCTAGCCCTCTGCTGCTAGCCTAACTCCCTGCTGTTAGCCTTGCTTCCTGCTGTTAGCCTATCTTCCTGTTGCTAGCCTAGCTTCCCGCTGCTAGCATAGCTTCCCACTGTTGGCATAACTTCTTGCTGCTAGCCTAGCATCTCGCTGCTAGCATTGCTTCCTGCTGCTACCCTAGCTTCCCGCTGCTAGCCTAGCTGCTCACTGCTAGCCTAGCTTCCTGCTGCTAGCCTAGCTTCTCACTGCTACCCTAGCTTCCCGCTGCTAGCCTAGCTTCTCACTACTAGCCTAGCCCTCTGCTGCTAGCCTAAATCCCTGCTGTTAGCCTTGCTTCCTGCTGTTAGCATAGCTTCTTGCTGCTAGCCTAGCATCTCGCTGCTAGCTTAGCTGTCTCCAAGCTACCAGCCAGCTGCTCTCCATGGTGGCGCCTCCTATGGGTGGTGGTGGTATGATGCTGTGGGCTCTGGGTGTGGCCATCTAGCAGCACAGAGACTAAATGCTCCCTGATCAGATCACCTTCCAGTTCAGCCATCATTTCCTTCAGAGGAACCCATGTTGGGGCTTGGTGCTGTGGTTCTGTGGGTCGGAGGTTCTGTGGGTCCGAGGTTCTGTGGGTCAGAGGTTCTGTGGGTCAGAGGTTCTGTGGGTCGGAGGTTCTGTTGGTCAATGGTTCTGGTCCAGGGTTCTGATCTCTGTACCCTCATTGCAGATGAAGCCGATCAGTAAACTGACCTGGTTCTGTAGAGAAACATCTGGAATAAAAGGAGCCATTTAGAAGTAGAACTAGATGATCTGCTGGAACCAACAGGAGCGACTGGGACCTCCTGGGTTCTCCTCCTCAGGTTCTGGTTGATCTGCTGGAACCAACAGGAGCGACTGGGACCTCCTGGGTTCTCCTCCTCAGGTTCTGGTTGATCTGCTGGAACCAACAGGAGCGTCTGGGACCTCCTGGGTTCTCCTCCTGAGGTTCTGGTTGATCTGCTGGACCCAACAGGAGCGACTGGGACCTCCTGGGTTCTCCTCCTCAGGTTCTGGTTGATCTGCTGGAACCAACAGGAGCGACTGGGACCTCCTGGGTTCTCCTCCTCCTCAGGTTCTGGTTGATCTGCTGGAACCAACAGGAGCGACTGGGACCTCCTGGGTTCTCCTCCTCCTCAGGTTCTTTGGTTTGATGGTAAACAGGCTGATCCGTTTATGTCATCGATCGG